CCCAAAGAATGAGGTCAGCTGACTACCTGAATATACTGAATGACCAGGTCTTTCCATCAATGGAGTTTTTCTTCCCTGATGGCATGGGCATATTCCAAGATGACAATGCCAGGATTCATCGGGGTCACATTGGGAATGAGTGGTTCAGGGAGCATGAGACATCCTTTTCACACATGGGTTGGCCACCACAGAGTCCTTCAGTCCATTGAAAGTCTTTGGGATATGCTCGAGAAGACTTGGCGCAGCGGGACGACTCTCCCATCATCAGTACAAGATCTTGGTGAAAGAGTAATGCAATTCTGGACGGAAATAAATGTTGTGACATTGCAGAAGCTTATGGAAATGATGCCCCAGCGAATGCACGCCGTACTCAAAGCTAAAGGCGGTCCAATGAAATATTAGAGTGTACGACTTTGTTTTGGACAGGCAGTGTATATGGGAGGCAATAACCACTGTGGGTTGGTTCTAGGCCATTAAAGAGTTTTTCAGTTTTCCTGGCCCTGGCTGTGGAAAAGTATAGAACTAGTTTGAGATTGGGCACCAGTTCCGAACCAGCCCACAAACTGCCTTGGTGGAAACTGGTTTGCTTTTCCATGGGCTAGCTAGAAAGCCTAGCTAGCTAGCTGTTGGTCAATACTATTCATTTGTTTCAATTTTATGTGTGTACACTGTAGTATTTTGCTTAAGAAGACCATAAAATACACATACACAAAAAGCTAGTAAGTTGACCTTTTGAGCTTATATATATTTTTTTACACATACTGTTCCCAAATGTCAAGAATGAAATTCCATGTTAAAAAAGGATTTGAATGAAGTTGAGGAAACATTGAGATGATACCAGGATGAAAATGTCACAATGTATACACAAACATCTCAGTATATTGTATTTTTACTGAAGTTACCATTTACATTTTTCCTATGTTGTTAGCATCCAGTGGGGGTTCAGTGGAAGGTTACTGTGCAGGGGAGAAAGAGGTGCTTGACACCTTTAACAGATGGGTGAGTGTTTTCCCTCCTTCAACATGTACAGTACCTTGTGTTTTGTGGTAGTTAAATGGTTAGTTTGGATTTTATGAAGTGTTGTATGAGATACTTATCTGTAGTCAGTAGATGGCAATTGGCACGGTCCCAGTTTGGAGAAGCAGAGAGGAGTAACAGCATGAAAGATAAGCAATGGGCTGCTGTGGACAGGGGCAGCAACAAAACGTATTTTAGCAACCTCCCTCTCGATTATGTATTAATATATATGAAAAGGAATTGTGATTGATTGTTTGAATCCAGGCTGACTGGCTGGAAAGATCTGTCAACTCTTTCTATGATGCCAGACGCAGTTCATGTGCTTAAATGTAATATCATGAAACTTCATGCATAGTGTACATACATGTGCTGATACTATTTACAAACTACCGTACTTATTTCTGCATTGGGTTTGGATGGAAATTCAGGTTTAAATTAGAGCCTAGGGAAAAATTCACCATGTTGCAAGTGTGAAAAACGAATCCTTTTTCCATAAAACCCTAAACTCTCAATTTGTCCGACCACACGGTTTTATGCATTCCTTTCAAATGTTTCCTGGGTGTAGTTGGGTGAACAGCTGCTCCAGCTGGTTCCCGCTAGTGGAATGGATGTGGTGGAGCTTGAAGACGAGGGTACATGTGTTCGCTTCAGTCCCCTCCTGACTGCTGCAGGTAATCCGAACACACAACACAACATTCTGCTAGATATATTTTTCATTTGTTAAATTCTACCAGCAAGGGTTAAAACATGACCAGGAAACAGCAACGACCATGACTTTCTCCCTCCCATCCAGTTCTGGGGACCCAGCAGGGGGATGTTGAGGACCTGGTGGAGAAGCTGTCAGAGCTGGTGCCTGTGATGAGCTCCACAATGTCCCTTAGACAGGACTTCAGAGAGGAAACCCACCGACATTCACCGTCGCTCATATACGTAGAAGAGCTCAGCTGGCCTGGCTTGGGTGCTGTCCGGTAAGAATGGCCAGGCTTTAAAGCATGGGTTTCCAACCTTTCTGAGAGTGAGAACATCCATGTTAAATTGATGCTTTCAATAGAACATAGCAGTGTGTATTTTCAACTTTAGTCATTTTTATATATAGGGTTGGACCAGTTTCATTTGGAATTGTGGTTGTGGACGTTATTTTTTCTCTGGTGGTGGTATTAACACTGGAATCTACTGATATAAACAGAGGTAATTTACTTCTCTCGCCTAATCAAGGTAAACCAATAAATTGATAGATTATGAAAATGTAAAAGTGCAACTCAGAGAAAGTAGTCAAGGGTTTAGGCCAGTGGTTTCCAAACTGGGGCTTGGGACTACGAGATGCCACTAGGAGTCACCAAAGGTTCACTCTTGATTTTAAGGGGTGTAAGAATACTAAACAGTAGGCCTTTATCTCAACATTTCATTTCAAACACTGACAACAAGTATTAGATTAAGTAGTGATTGTTAAAAAAAAATAATACAGAATACAGAATTGTATTAAAAGGAAAACTCATCTCTAATCAACATTCATAGGAAATGTATTTATTATAATAAAAACAATATAATAATAAAATAAAAATAATGTTGGTTCATCAGTTGTTCTGTACTTTTATTGTTATTCATTGAATATAATAAAAATATCCATAAAATAAGTCACTTAGTCAGGGGTCTTCAGGTTACTCAATAATAGAAACAGAAGAACCTGATTTTTTCACAGATTATCTGTCTCATGTACTACTGTCAGGATAGAGTGAAAGTTTCAACAAATATGACAAAAAGTTATTTTTATAAAAGTTACCTACTGCAGCTTTAAAATTTTTTAGGTACCACCTACAGTACTCCAAAGTACCCATATGTGTAAAAGTACCCCTATTTGAGAACATTGTACTATTCTATTTAATAACATATAGAAACCAGAGGCGGCATGAATTGTAAGTATACTTGCTGTCCTTTTAACAGTGTTGGGATTTGTCATGAAAGTCCGTTAGCTATTAAGGCCTCAAGATAAGATATTTCCTTATTATCCCCTTAGGAAGAAATTCAGGTTTTGACATAGCAACAACAGGGCCCAACGCTAGTGCAAAACAGAACAAAGAATCATCACAAATAAAAATATTACAAAATACAATAGAAGATATAAAACTATAAATGAAAGTATATACACTATGCATTGCAAGTGCAAAATATGAGCAGAAAATTAAACTTGACTAAAACTAAACTGTACAAGTGGAAATTAAATA